ATATAAGTCAATTACGTTGTATCCAGGTGTCGTTTCGTATCATTTGGGACTCAGTTGATTTGGTGTTGATAACAAAATGCAGCCATTTGAAAGACTCGAAACCGTGCTATGGTATGTTAGCGGCACGGAAAAGGTTGCTTGGTTGTTAAAGAAATGGGAGCACTTCCTTACTTGGATTGTCATAGATTCGTCAATGATGGTGATGGTATGTGATGGTATGCGATAATTTTAACATTACCTTAGGTTCCTACAATCTGTGGTGGGTGAACCCTGTGTGGAGTCCCTCGTGAAGAAGAGCAGGGACAACATTGCTGCCACAGATCAGGACGCAGGACATGTAAGTGGAATCAAAAGGTTTTTAGCAGGATGCCGTGAGCAATGTACACCCTCTGTAGCCCAGGGACCTACAGTGGAGGTGAGATTCACTTTGGAAGGAATTGTGAGGTTTCAGCGTGTTCAAGGCTCGATCTCCACTTCTGAGACGAGCCGACCTGCTCCGAAGAGAAAGCGGCCCAACTATAACAATGCTAAGCGCAGATTTTTGGCCAAACGTTTGGATCGTGTGAAGTGGCTAGTATTTGATTCAGACATTCAGTGATTGCGGTGGTTGTTTTTTTGAGCTTTGTTGCAGCCTGTGATTCTGAATGTGGTTGGTGGAACTAGCTTGCCTATACTTCCAGCTATATACTGCCACCCAAGGCATGGCTCTACAGGACCAAGCCAATCTCGACTTCGGGGATTGATGGATAGAAACTGCAGATGCCACCGGAGGACGTGCTTTCAGCAGATTCGTTTCATTTGGGATAAGATTGTCCAGTTCCTGCAGATCTTCTGGTCTTTTTCAAAGTGTACACAAGACACATTTGTTTGAAACTCGGTTGGTTGAAAGTTGAAAGCAACAACACTGATGCGTTGCAGTATAATGTGTGGCAACCTGGGGTGGCTCATCACTTAGGTCCAACAAGTCATTGCAGAAGCTGGAGGGGATCGATTCGATTGGTTCTTGATGGATCGCCAGTTCGCACCGAAGTGTTTGGTGGCGACGTTGGGCATGGGAAACAGCAGGCTTCAGAGGATCAAGGATCATAGGGGTGACTTCCGTTTCAGGATCTGGGGCTCAGAGACTATGCTTTCAATTTGTCGTTTTCAGGTTTTAGGGTTCTGTGATGTTGCTTTGTTTTCAACTTGTCGTACCATTCTATTTTCAGGTTTTGGGGTTTTCAAGTTGTTGTACATTGTGTTGTCAGTTCTGTAGAGTTTCTAGAATCTAGATTGAGATGAATGATGTGAAAAGTAGGAACCAAGGACATGAGACGAGCACCGATCAAACAAAGGATGATCAACCGATTTCTTGTGCAGCAATCCGCCGACCCCGGCTGAAGAAAGGGGGAGCGCGCCAGGGATTACAGGTGTGGGAGGGCTCACCATGGATGCCGGTGCCTGTGAATCTCTTGTGGCAAGGTCTGTGCCGGTGCTCAGGTTCACAGGGTACGGATGGGCCAGAATGTACTAGTTTTTTTTTCTAGGGATCCAGACGCAACGTTTGGCCCCGAATGTGCGAGCAGTTGAGTCTGTTTTGGAGTAGTTTTTGGTGCCGGTGCCTGTGAATCTCTTGTGGTAAGGTCTGTGCCGGTGCTCAGGTTCACAGGGTACGGATGGGCCAGAATGTACTGGTTTTTTTCTAGGGATTCAGAGGCGGCGTTAGGCAGCCAAAGTGCGACCATGGGAGGCTCGTTTTGGAGCAGAATTAGATTGGGAAAAGCTGTGGCGGGACCAGGTGTTCGGGGCC